ATTTCTTTAATTAAGTTCTGTAGTGCTGGTTTAGTTGTCATGAATTCCTTTATTTTCTGGTTATTTTGGAGGGTTCTTAATTCATCTTTGATTCTGAAGGATAACTTTGCTGCATGTAGCAGTCTTGGCTGACAGTTGTTTTCTTTTAGGACTTGGAACACATTGTTCCAAGCCCTCCTGGCTTGTAGTTTGTGCTGAGAAATCAGAAGTGATTCTGATTGGCTTGCCTCTAACTGAGAACTGATGTTTTTCTCTTGAGACTTTTAAAATTCTATCCTTGTTCACTCTACTAGGTATTTCAATTACCATGTATCATGGAGAGGTTCTTCTTTGCCTTGTGTATTTGGGAATCTGAATCCCTCCTGTATCTAGATGTCCATCTCATTCTGAAAGCTTTGAAACTTTTCTGTAATCATTTCCCTGAAGAGTTTATCCATTCTATCAACCCACATCTCACAAACCTTCTCAATTCTTAAATTTGGTCTCTTTATGTTGTCCCAGAGTTCTTGTATGTTCTGGAAAGGGCTATTTATTTATTTATTATTTATATGGTCTGAATGTTCAAAGCTGGGCACTTTGTCTTCCAGCTCTGAGATTCTGTCTTCAGCATGGGCTCCTCTGTTAGAGAAACTTTCCACTGAACATTTTCTTTAATTTATTGTGTCTTTCATTTCTATGGCTTCTGTTTGGTTCTTTTTCAAACATTTCTATCTCCTTATTGAATTTGTCATTCATATTCTGTACTGGTTTTCTTAATTCATTCAGTTGTTTTTCTGTGTTCTCTTGGAATTCATTGATAATTTTGATAATGATTTTTTTAAAAAAATTCCTTATCTGATATTTCATTTACTTCAATATTTGGAGGGTCATTTTCTGGTGAATTATAAAGTTAAAGAGGTGTTAGCTTATATTTTCATATTGTTGTATTCCTGTGTGGGGTTTATGTATCTGTTTGGAGTTATTTCTCTTCCACTATTATGTGTGGGCCTTTTTAGGGTACAGTCTTCACCTCCACAGTGCCCTAGGGGATCTAGGTTGAGACCCTGTTGGAGGTACATTATCCACAGCCTTTGTGTTATTTTTCTCTGTTTTTTTTTTTTTTCTGTAACAGTGGATGTTTATATTTGTGACCCTGGGCTTGACCCCTAGCCATTTCTACTTGGACCTGGTTGTTAGTTTGGGTTTTTGTCTCTTCAGTTCTTTGTGTTAAAGTATAGCTGAAGATTGAGTGTCATCGATATGTGCAGAGCAAGGCACGCTGTCTTTTTTTTAGTTTATTTCATCAGTAGAGTCCTCACCCTGTGAACTTGTAGTGTCCCCATAGTTTCCCAGCATCTCACAGATTAGTGGGGAACAAACAATAGCAACAATTAATGCCAACAATATACAGCATTAAAATAAATACCCAGTTCCTACTAAGACATCTACTTTATTAATTGCTACGAAAAACCAGAAATGGTGGCATCAACAGTTGCCAACAGCAAAAACAATAAGTAACCACGAATTATATCTGTCTTTAAACCAAACAATAGGTGTCAACTCTGTCAGCCATAGCAGTATAATTGCAACAGCATTAATGTTGGGGGCAGGGGTATGTAAGCCAATTAGTGCTAAAAGATGGTAAGAATACAGTTAATTAAGAAAAAAAATGTGATAAGAAGGTAGAGAAGGTTTTCCAATTCAAAAAAAGTGAACGAAGAGAATGCAGAAGAGATGTAGCAGGTGATGGAGGAGAGGAAGGAGAAGAAAAAAATAGAGGTAACCAAGTAGAGTGAGAGAGAAAAGAGAGAATTTGGTTTCTAGCAGAAGATACAAAGAGAAATGAGAAAAAAAAAAAAACAAACAAAAACAATACAAAACCAAACCAAAACATGCTAAGCAAAAACCCTAACCCTCAAAGTGCAAGGCAAAGAAAAAAAAAAAAACTACATTAAAAATGCTAAAAATGAGAAACCCAAATATGTATATGTATATGAATATATGTCCGTATACCAATTAGCACAGAAGAAACAACACACAAACACAAAACAAAATAAAACAAAATGAGAGAGAGAGAGAAAGAGAAAGAGAGAGAGAGAGAGAGAGAGAGAGAGAGAGAGAGAGAGAGAGAAAAGTTTCTTATTGGAAAATGAAGGTAATGAAGGTCTTGTCTCACTGGTCAAAATAGTCAAGGAGAATAGATGGCCCTGTCTATGCCTGACTGTTTTTCTTTCTCTTTCTTCTTGAGCTACGTACTGAGAGTGGAGAAAGGGCTCCTCTTTCTGTGTTGCTCACCATGCTGCCTGTTAGAGTAGCTTAAGACCAAATAATTCTCAGCTTCCCTTCTCTCCAGTATGAGGTAGGGTGGAATGGCACTATCGGTTGGAGTCTTGTCTGCACAGACCAGATGGGTATGTTCCCAGGAGGGCCACTGAAGAGCTCGAAGTGGAGTTCTGGCAGGAGAGATTAGAGGAGCACAATTCCAGGGCCTGGCAGTTGTCAGTCTCTTCTGGGAATCTGGATCTCAGGAGCCTCCCAAGGATTCTACTCATGGGGCAAGGCGGCCAATCCTTCCCCCCTCTGCTTCTCACAAATACACCCTTCCCAGGCTTCCCAGGCCTAGTCCCTGAGTACATTCACACCTGCCTGTTCAGATTCCCAGCCCACATCAGCTGGTCCCGTGAGCCACCAGACTCAAAGGGGAAGGGAGTTGGGCTCCTGCCTTCACTCTTCTGACTTGAGTACCCCTGGTAAAATATTTTCTGTTCCTGTTTTGTTCCCATTCTGCTAGGTACCCCCTAGGCCACATGGTAAGTGCTTGCCAGGGCAGTGAGGCAGTGTTTGCTCTGCTCTCCTGTCTCCTGCAAGGTTTCTGCAAACACGGCCGCCTCGAGATGGCACCACCTTAGCTCTCTGTGGTCAGTTGGTAAACACAGAGCTCTTTTCAAGCACCAGTGCACAGTGCAGCCTCTTAATTAGCTAAGGGCAGTCTTCTTTTCTGATCTCAGGTTTTTCCATATTACATTTGTCCATTGTGTTTCTCAGAATTCTCCCTCCCTCTCTGCTGATCTGGTTTTCTATTGGTGCTGCTGCTACTGCTGCTGCAACTGACTTGGCTTCAATGTATTCTTCTTTGTTTAATACCCAAATTTCTGAGTCTGTAAGTCACTTTGACTATCCAATATTGAGGTTTAGTGAAATGCTCTTTCATCCACCTCTCAGAGAAGCAGTATTTCTGCTGCTTAAATCCTGAGCCACAGAGCAACTAGGAATGCAGCCTTCTTCTAGCCTGCCATCTTGAATCTCTAGCTGTTGTTATGATTGTCATCACTCACTGATTTAAAATACAGTCTCTGGTATAGGTACCTATTCATGGGTCATGGTCACAAACGTGCCCAGGAGGGTAGCAGGAAGTTATAGATGGGGAGCTTGTATGGGAGTGAGGGAAGATGGCCCTCTAGTTGGGAGATAGCTGAAGTGTTCTATTTTAATGGAGCATTAGTGTTCCAAGGAGGGTTTTGGGACAGAGGGGAGCCATCTGGAATAACTAGCTCAAGAATTGATACTCAATTTTATACTAAGGAGTCACTAAAGGTTTAGGTACAGGAGAGAATAGGGCTAGGACCTGGCTCTCACAGCTAAACGCTCAAAGTCACTCCAGGTGAACTGGGCTGCATGAAATAACATACAAAGACAGAGAAATACCTTCTTCTTTGGGTCTTGTGACGGCTCCTCTGACCTTAGGGGTCCATGGAAGGAGAGCAAGGAGGACATGTTGAACCCTTTTATTGGGAAGAAACCATTCAAATGAGGCAAGGGGTCAGGTTTCAGGGGGTTGAGTCTATATAGCTTCATGATGTCTGTTGTCAGCAGATTGACTGACATTTAGGAAGGCCACACCCATGTCATGAGCTGTGTGGGGATCAGGGCAGAGCAAGCAAAAAGACCAGAGCAAGGCCCGTTCAAACAGAGGGGCATCGTCGGTTCAGTCCACTTTGTGTGCTCAGTGCTCATAGTTCACACACACACAGCCCGTGACTAGCTCGCCACATCTCCACATTCTCATCCATCAAGGCTAAGGGGCGCTTGGTTCCTATGTGGCAGCTCCCCACAGAAGAGCACGCTTGTATGCAGGGTGGCTTTGCAGTGAGACAAGGAACCCGGTCAGGTGGCTGGAGCCCTTGGCCAGCACAGGGACTCCACTGTACCACCCAGAATGTGCCACTTGCTCTCCCCTTTGGGGATGCCCAGCAGATAAGCCCAAGGGCATGTGCCAATTTGCAGTCATGAGAGCCATAGACTCTCTCTGTCTATGAGACATATCCCATAGAGTCCCATTTTGCAGCTAAGAGCCTGAGTAGACATACTTAGTGACTTCCCTAAGCTCATGCATCTCAGACACAGAGCTCTAGTCACAATGACCCTGACTTGTGCAGAACATTGTCACATGCTAGACATCCTGCGGGGACTTCACATGTGTATTCTCACTACATCTTCACAGGTTCCCAGTGAGGTGTTGCTATTCCTCTGGCCATTTTACAAATAGGAAAACTGAGGCTCAGTTAGCCGAGTGACCGCTATCCATGGCTGGGTAGCCAGTGGGTGTGTCTGTCTCCCCAGTCCATGGAGGGGGTCCCCTAGGTGGTCCAGGAAGCTCCAAGCTCACCCCTGAACTTCTCCCTGGTGGTTGGATGGGGAAGGGCCCCTGGGGTGGTTTGAGCATCTCAGCCCTTTGAGCTCTGACTTAAAGCTTCCCGTCTCTGGATGGAGAATAGACTGTTTTCTTGATCAACTGAGGCTCAGAGAGGTTGACAGATCTCCCAGGGCCACATAACAGGTCAGCAGCTGAGTTGAGCTACGACCTTAGAAATCCTGTTGCTCAGGCCAGCAGTTCTTTTTGTACTCTGAGCTGCTTCTGGGTTTTTTCCCAGCCTCAGACTCCAAGGAGATGGGATCCAGTCTGGGACAGCAAGAGCGTTCCCCAAAATTCCAGCATCTGAATTTTCTCTCTTCTGCCCCAGGCTGCAGCTCTCACTGGGAGATATCAGATATTGGCACCCACAGACGACCTGGGCAGAGGCCTGGAGGGCAGTCTGACCAGTGTGTGGGCCACAAGGAGGCCAGCGTCCATGCTTCTTGCTGCCATGCCCCAGGCCTGGAGTGCAAAGTCAAGGATCATGGGGTCCTGGGCCCTGCAGAGCAGGTGAGGAGATATGGGGGTGGGGTGGGTGCTTGGGGTCCCTCAGGGTGGATGTATCTGTCCTGTGAAGTTTTTGTGGGGGGCTGATTCTGTTCTTGTCCAGATTAGTAAGGCTTGCTGCCTGGGCCCCTGCTCCTTTGAGGAGGATATGCATAAATATGATATGAAGAGAGGTGGTGTGTGCACATGATGGATGGATCAACTTAGCAAACCGAGAGGTTGCTGTAGGACAAGAGCCCCACTGGACTCTGAGGACACAGAGGTGACTCAGCCTAGGATTCAGAGGAGGGGACACCTGAAGGTTGAGGAGTGAGGAGAGCCCTGCCAAGAGGTCGAGGTGTGGGATGAGGCCAGAGCTGAGAGCTGGGCTTGGTGAGCCAAGGCAGGGTAGCCCCAGGGCTCTGGGCAGCTCCTTCAGCAGGGCCCCAGGGGCCAGGCATCCCAAGCCTACTCCTAGGGGAGCTTAGCCACATTGTAAGATGCAGTGTGAAGAGACTGCAGTCTGATGGTGCATCCTTGAGGACAGGGACGGGGTCAGATCCATCCTCTGGGCGTGCACAGGTAAGGTGCTAGCTCCAGGTGCTACTCCAGGCATTGGAGAGACAGACAAACAGACGGCCAGCCGGCCAGACAGACAGACAGATAAACACTCTTGCTTCCCCACCTGGAGTGTATGTTCTAGTCCAGGTAGGTTAGTCAGCTAAGGTATCGTCCACGTGGAGGACAGAAGTGAAGCAGGCCAGGGAATGGGTGGGCATCAGAGCCCTCACTGAGCTGGTGGAGAGGACAAGCCACGAGGACACCAGGCAGAGGAGCAGCAGAGTAAAGGGGGAGCAGGCCCAGGGGCCACCAGGAACATCTGAAGGCCCATGAGGCAGCAGCGGAGTTAGCAATGGAGGGGAGAGGCTCAGAGATGACACAGCAAGGTCACTTCGGGCTTCAAGGCCACAGTCAGGCCTCAGTTTTTGCTGAGTAGCCTGAGAACCATGCAGTGCTGTGTCTAGGGTCAGGGGTAATCTGACCTGGGTTTGGACAGGTTCACTCTGGTCCCCAAGCTGAGAAGAAACTTCAGGGGACATTAGCAAAAGCAGGGAGAATAAAGGGTGGCTCTTGCCATGGTCCAGGCCTAGGAGGTGGGGCTCAGGCTGGTGGGAAATGTGGAGGGACATGGGGCCTGCAGGAGGCGCTCGTGGGTGTGGTGGATGGTGTAGGGGGAGGGGTGGAGGATGGTTGAGGTTTTGTTGGGCTACTGGACAGATGGAGTTGCTGTGAAATGGGGTGGAAAAGGCACTCAGGGGGCAGGTGGAGAGTGGACACTGTGGAGGTTCCCCTGTGCCCTGAAGATCAGGTGTGGAGCAGAAGCGGGTGTTGGGATGCAGACCCACTATGAGGAGGTGTAGCATGGCGCTCCAGCTGGCCCAGAGCCAGAGGTGTCTGTCTCGGCCCCCACTGGGGCTGTTGGGAAGGAGAAGTGAAGTGGGGGCGTGGCCTGCGTTGCTGAATTTGCGCTTTCTTCTCCCTGGGCTATGTCAGGTCACTGTGGCCTGTGAAGAGGGCTGGACCCTGACTGGCTGCAATGCTCTCCCGGGGGCCTCCCCCATCCTGGGAGCCTATGCGGTGGACAACACGTGTGTGGTGAGGAGCTGCGACATGGACACTGCAGGCAGGACCAGTGAGGAGGCCACAATAGCCACTGCCATCTGCTGTCGGAGCCAGCCCCCAGGCCAGGCCTCCCAGGAGCTACAGTGAAAGCCCAGGCCAGCATGGATGCCCGGGTGGGGGCCAGGGACTGGGTGCTAAGTGGATGAAACAGCTCTACCAGCCTGGCCCTGCTGGCACTGGCCAGGGGTGGGGTGCTCCTTGCTTGGGAGAACTCAGCATCTCTCCCTGGACCTTCCTCCCCATGGAGGTGCAGGGAAGTCCCTCCTTCACTGGGGGAGCAGAGATGGCCTTTAATACATCATTAAAGCGGGTTAAGTTGTGCTCGGCTCTGCCAGCTGCTCCCAAGGTATCACCCCCCCTTCATGGCAGTTACCTTCTAGAGCTCTCTTGCTGGTGCCAGGCCCTCAGTCCTCCCTTGGGGGCTGGATGGGGCCAAGTATCAGCCTGGGGCAGCGAGGGTGAGGATGTTGGGGGTCCTTTACTGCCTGCTCTCTTTAGAGAAGCCCCTGGGGTCCCTGAGGAATAAGGGTCATATCCCACATGTTCTGGGGATGGGAGTGGAGTGAGGTTCAGGCAGAGGGTGGAGACAGAGGCTCCTGGTTAACACAGGCCATGCCTCAGCTTCTTCCAGCCGCCCTTACTGTGCTCCGTCTTAGACTTTGTAACTGCCCAGGATCACCTGCAGTGAGCCACCACCCCAGGACCAGCTTTTCAATTTGCAGTGGAGGGCCACATGATACATGCCCCCTCATCAGACCCCCTCTACTGCCCTGCACTGGCACTCCTACTTTATGAAGGAAGACACTGGAAATGAAGGTGGGAGTACCTGCCAGCCTTACACAGCCAGGAAGTGAAGTGGTACCAGGATATGAACCCAGAGCCATCTGGCTAGAAGCCAAGCCTGTTTTTGGTGTACCAGGCTGGGCTCCTCAATTTTATAGATAACAGTGAGGCTACAAAGGTGAAGGTGTCTGCACCCTGCTTGCTGTGGATAAGGGCCTCCACTGTGGCCTGGTGTGGAGGTCAGTCAAGTAGCCCAGTGACTGTCCTTCCCTGAGCACTGCCCCGCCCCACCCACCCAAACAAATAAGCTTGTCTAGCTTTGGGGGCTCTTCTCTGTTGCCTTTATATAGCAAGGAACTTTTCCATATCTGTTTTGCTTTTGTAATTTGATATTTATTCTGGGTTTTGTAGCATTTTTACTATGTGGTGACTTTTTAAAATAAAAGCAACATTGTCAGGACTCTGGACTGGACTCTGGCCTAGGACGGTTTTGCTTATACCGGGCACTGGTTAGTATGTTGAATGGAGTGATGAATGGTATTGGATGAGTACTGCAGAGTGAACTTATTCCTTGTGCCTCTCCTAGGAATGCATGAATATCTTCCAGAAATTTCCCTGGACCCAACTAGTCAGGATGCCCTGCCCCTTACAACATTCTAGATGTCCTGCTGCCCATGTCCACTGAGCCCTGGACTCCCACTGACTTTTCCATCTTCTCCTAGCAGCAGCCTAGCAGTTTATGGAAGCTCTTGTCTTAAGTGTGCAGCTAGTGCTTGTCCATGATGGTTGTTCCCGACTTGTCAGATCTCTTTCCAGTTTGCAAAATGTAATGATCCCATTCAGTGTAGGATCTCCCAGCCCCCTGCTGGGGTTGATGTGTCACCATCTTAGATAAGATATGGCTCTACAAAGCCCATGTCATAAATGAGGAATCTACCACAAAGGCAAAAATCTCCCCAGTTGTTTCCGGACAATTCAGTGTTGTATGTACAAACAGATGTTAATGGCTTGAAGGCCAGAACTGTGCACCTGGGCTCACAGGCACCTATGCTGCTGTGAGGTCTGAAGACACCCACTCCCTGCCTAGGATGGCATGGGATCGTGAGTTAGATGGTTAGATACCCACACCCTAACAGTTTGTGGCTTGAGAGGGGGAAACAAGTCCATCTTGCAGATGGTTGACAGTTGGTCACCAGGAACAGGGAAGATCTACAATAGTGCATGGGAGGAGACCCAGGTGAGCAACACAGGATTCGAAAAATGAGGAAAGATGGTGAAAGGCTCAGAAGACCCAAAGCACCAGTCAGCACCAGGATGGGCCCACGTGCGCCCCCACTGGCTGTGTCTGATATTTGGTGAAAAAATGTTGGTGAAACTCCAACTCCACATTTTTGAAAAATTTTATTTTATAATCTTAGAAGCTAAGAACTCTGCCACGCATGAACCAAATTTAGAATTAAGATTCAACCCTAGTTTATCTACTTCCTTTTGAAAGTTTATAAACAAGATTTTATACACAAGAGGTAGCAGCGGAAAATTCCAGTCTGCTTGTTCCAAGCTCAAAAGGTACTGCACACACCTTGATGTTAGCAGGGAGGGTGGGGCAAGCTGGGGGAGACTGATGGCGCTCTAGAGGTCAGTGACCATGTGAGTCTGCCGGGAAAGTCCCGGGTGAGCTGCCCTCGGGGATGCTCACCTCTTGGTCCCAGGATGCCTCCAAGGGCAGGACTTCAAGGGCTGTCCCAAGGTCAGCCTGGGCCAAAGGAAGTTCTTGAGAACACACAGCATTGAGTCAATTGTGCAATTCCTGCTTGATTTGCAGACCATTGTGAAAGATTATAAAAACATCTTCATCCAAAAAATTGGCAGTAAAAATGACAACTCTTCCAAGGCAAGCCTGTCACAGTTGTCACTTTGTGGTACAATAAAAAAGTCCCCAGCAAGTTCGTTGACTGCAGCCGTTGGAAATCAAATGGTTACTGGCAAAGTGGAATCGATGCTCATTGCAGCAGCAACATAACAAAATGAACCAAAGCTAGAGTGACAACGATCCTGATGCAGTTTCATGAGGACAGAGGTGCGAGGGAGGGCAGAAGGCGTCGTTTCCATAGGAAATAAGGGGACTAGAAGTGGAAACTTCACTCCTGAATTTGGGCTCCTGAGAGTGCAGCTGCCAGCGATGATATCCCAACGTGCATCATCACCAGCATTTTAATGCATGTCTTACACAATCTTTCTTCAAGGGGCACGGAGAGGAGGTTGTTGGAGATGGGGTGAAGAGGAAAACAGTAGGACATGGGGTATTCAGGTGTTCAAAATAAATTTTTGAAAATCACATTCAAAATTGTAAAAACACAAGAACCATACCAAATTTGCCATTTTGTGCCTGTTTCTCTGAGGCATGGTTCTGCTCTTAAATGCTGGCCCTTTCATCTTTTTGTGTATTTGACAAAAGCCACCACTAGACCGCAGTAGTTATAGAATTACACACTGAAGCCTGACCTACAGGAACTTCTACAGTTGAACAATGAAACGAAGGGTTACTGAAACTGCACAGCAATGAAAGCTGTCTGCCCTGTCACATGTCCCCACAAATGCAAAAGCAACCAAAAAGGCACTTTGGGGCTCACGGCGCCTCTTTGACTTGGCAAATCTGACAGTGGCAACCTGGCACTTCCTAAGGTTCCCCTAGTTCTGTGCATGGTGACTTGAAAATAAGGCAGAACATGTAACTAAAGGCAAAACAGGGCTGGAAATGTGTGAGCAATTCAAAACACAAAATGTACCAAATTTACGAAATGTTGGTTGGTGTAACCCTTTCGATCTGCCACCCGAAAAGGGAGCCAGTATTTAACCTGAAATGAGTAAGTGATGCTATGCCTGGGAAGTACAACTACTGGATGGGTGTTCAATTGCTTTCTGGTTATTTCAGGGAAAGAAACCTTAACCTTGCCTTTTCAGTATTCATTAGTCATCTGGAGGAGAAAGAAAGTCTCAAGTTCCTTTTTCTGTGTTAAAATTATGATGAAGCTCACAAAGCAGTGTTTCCCAACTAGGGTACTTAACTTCCCATACACCATTGCCACAGGCTTCAGTAATTACGTTTTTAAGAAAAAACAAATGATTGTGGGATCACATAATTTAAGACTACAGTTTATTCAATATGTCTCCAAGCAATAAAAAGAATTTTATGGAGTCAAACTCAATAAATTTTATCTTAAAGTGCTTTTTATTTTGCTGTTTTTAAAATTTGTTTTAGGGACAACTTGTGTAATTTCTTTAGTGACAGATGTCAAAGAATGCACCTTGTACTTATGGAGAATGTAGTTTTTTTATTGCTCTTTTTAATCTAAATCATATCAGAAAATACCTTAAAGAGCTTAATAATTTCCCAATTTTTGATCCTGGTAACATTTCATCAAGGTCCAAGCAGGGTTCTCAACCAGACCCACTGGAAATTCTATACAAAGAAGGAGACATATTAAATATAAAGGTCTGTGTAAACTGAATTCTTCAACTACTATTTTACAATGAAAAGGAATTCTACCACATCACTTTACATCATTTTAAATTGGATTTCTTACTCGATGTTACTGGATTAAAAATTTGCCCCTGCAAATGCTTGCTATTTTCTTAAAATATAAAAACCAGAGGAATTTCTTTTGTTGCATCATAGAGAAAGCAACAATTTTACCCTCACTCTTGTACGTTCATGTAACAAAAGTCTGCCACCAGCTTTATTCCTAAAATCTCCAAGGGAAAAAAAAAGTCAATCTGCATGTGGTCCTGTGGCTGCTGGGCAGCTGGTCCACAGCTGGAGCTCTGTCACCACCGCAGCCTCCTGCCTTCTCATGCCCAAAGAGCGCTTCCTCTAAGAACACAGTCCTCTAGCTCTCCCAGGACAGTCTCCAGGCTCTTCTAAGGGTTTCAAGGATGAGATTCCGGTTACCAAAAGGCGCTGAGCACCCAGTCTTCTCAGGTGCCGGGCATTCTCCTCTAAGGATCGACATCGTCAAGGTCACTTCTTAACTCGCCAATCATCATGGGAGATTCTGAACCCTGTGAAAAAGAACAGGCAGTTACAGTTCAGACAGTTAAGTTAGGAAAAAAAGTCTTCTATACTCACTCCCCTCTGTGTTCTGTAATTTAACCAGGTTATCATGTAGCAACTTATTTCTGTTTGTTAAAGGGTAATAAAACACAATGGTAACTATTATGTCTTCTATTTGACAATTCATAATTAACACAGAACACTTTCTAGGATCTCATTTAGTCACTGAAGCAACCAGTGACTTGTCTAATGGCACAATCCTCCTTCGCCACCACATAGGCAGGCTCTCATTAGAACTGACTGAGCAATGAGACAAAGCAGAGAGAGGAACTTGCTGTCACCGACAACCACTTTGAGCTGGGTACTCCACCTGACAGGTGGGTTCTGGTTCATTCCTGGGCCTGTATTTTTCAGGTCACTAATTTGTGATCTTTGGTTTACACAGTTAACAAATAGTTTTGAAGACATGTCTATCATGTGCCTTGGGACTGATATGACTGGAGGTGTGGATGGAAGAGAAGGGATGATCTCTTTGTGGAAGTGATATGCTAGCTGAGTGGGAGTTAGGGCAGTGTATGGAGGCAGATGGGGAAGGAACAAAGCATATTTGAAAAACTAAAATTCAGAAACCGCTGGAGGGAGAGGTGTGCCACATCAATCAGGACCACGTGGAGGGTTACAAGCCTTAGCAGCAAAGCTAAATCACTGAAAGGTCTCAGCACGTGAACTAGAGCGCCAAGAGTGGAGGCACCTCTGCCTCCACTTCTTCCAGAGATCCAGAGACTAAAGAGCTTGGACAGACAAAAAGATGGGTGGCCACTATATGAAAGGTTTCATGGCTCTCAACGGCCATGGGGTGTTGGCTTTGGTGCGGGGGGGGGGGGGGGGGGGGTTGGGCATGTTGAGTTTAAGGCATTTTTGAGACAAAGCAAGTGATGTCAGGAATCAGAGAGCTGGAAGTTCATGTCTGGAGTTTAGGATAATCGCCACAGTGACGGCTGTGGGGAAGGCATCAGAATATGGGATAGAGACCTAGGGATGCCTGCTGGGCACCTGGAGGATCAGAAAGAACAGGGTCTGAGGAAACCCAGGAGTAAGATGTGTCCTGGAAGTCCCTGAAGAGTGTTTCAAAAAGGGCAGAGTGTTCCCAAGTAGCATAGAACTAAGAGGACTGGGAAATAAAGGCCACTTGCCACC